CCCAACTCCTTGAAAGACAAATAAAAACTTCAAATATAGGAGGTGTATGGTATTGAAGCATGCTTACAATAGGTAAGAAGAAGGTTAGGGTAGTAAATTCAGACCTGCAGTAACTTGAAGTGCAAGTTTAGGTTCTGTCTCTCGCATTTTCTTTCTCCTAAGATAGAGTCCCAGTTGAAAATGCTGCTTTAGATGGCAAAGCTGGTCTGGGACCAAGCTATGGTATGTTTGAGGATGCAGCCTTGCCCCAAAGTTTACTGCCCGTTTCAAATAAACAGACTTGCCACATTGCTTTCCACATTGTGTAGTCATTCATTATGATATACAAAAGACTGCTTGCCTCTGTTTTTGCTGGTTTGCCTTTTGATCTGCCTTTGCATGATGCTAATAGCTGTGTGGTGCCAAGAGCAACACATGGTCCATGGAAAGTCAGCAGCCTCCTGTGCTGGAGAGAAAGTGAAGTCTGACTTGGACTGAAGTACAGGCACCATAGGGGCCAGCACTTCAGGAATCAAATGTTTTGCAACAGCTGGTATATACATAAGTGCAGATATCTGTCTAAATAGAGGAACAGTGGAGGGGGCTTAGATCTTTTAACAATTCCTCCGTATTTAGGTGAGATCTGGGCTACAAACCCCAGATCTCTTCTGCCCTGAAAGCTGAAGAGGTCACACAACCTCTGCTGCCTCTGGTGTTGGAGTTGCTCTTGGCCATCAGGCTGTTTTGCTGGGGGAGTCACTGAGGAACAAGGACAAGGCAGGGACAAGCTCTGCCGGGGCTGCTGCCAAGGCACCGAGTTTGGAATGTCTGTGTGATGCATGTGCACTTCTGTCACGCTGCAAGGACAGCATGGGGAGCTCCGTGGCAAGCTCTGAAATGAGTGTGCAGGAGTATACGTATATATGTGCGAAAATCTGCCTTGCAGTGGAGGGTGGTGCATCAGCCAAGACTGAGAGGTGGGAACGTGCATGGGGAAACTGGAATATCATGAATCCCTGGCTTCAGATGAGTTTGCATGAAGGTTTAAAATAACTGCTTCTTTTATAAGTTTGGACATTTTCAGTCTTTACTTTGTCATTTTGTGCAACAGTTCTTTGATTTGGGATTTTCAGGTCCTTGGGGATTGAGCTCTGGCTTGTGTTTCAGCTGAGCCCAGAGGGCAGGAAAAATGTGGAGTGTATTAATTGTACATCGGATTTTTCCTATGATGTTTTCCCTCTAGAGATTTGGGAGGGGGAGCATTAGGAGTTTGTCACTGTGGCTTTTTTTTTTTTTAATCCTGCAGTTTTTAAAAAGTATTCATTTGTGTTTCTTCTCCTCGGTATTCTACCTACAAACTGTAGGTTACCCTGAGCCCAACGGCAAAGTGAATAAAGCAATTTTGGGTATGGCCCATTCTGGATATGCAGGCAAGTCCTACACAGATCTCTGCCCCAAGGAGGGTACAGTTGAGGGGAGGCACCAAAAGAGGTGACAAAATCCAGATACACTTGAGCACCTTGGTTGTCTTGCCTCGCTCTGGTGGTTCACAGCAGTCATAGATGCAACATATGGCTGCTGCGCGGTGCTGGGTGGCACAGAGCAGCCAGAGGCCTGTCGAGTGAGTCTGGCCCTGTATTAACTGGGCAACAACTGACTGCCTAATTTCCACTCCAGTGAACTGGAGGGAAGAAGAGGGATAAAATAATGCGCAAAGAAGCGTACAGGTTTGAGTAACCGTGCAGAAAGGAAGGACACTGAACAGTGACAGTTGAGAGAAAAGACAGATGCTGCCGTTCATTTCTGAAGATAATACACAGAAATCTTTGGTGTGGAATGACATAGCATCGGCTGTGACAGCCAGAAAAGCCAGGGAAAAAAGTCCTGTTTTTCAGGCCATTGGAAACTTGGGATCCTCACCTCTTTGTCAAGTTCAACACAGCATGGCTGAAGCCATGGCTTGAAAACTAAGTGAATAATACCGATAGGCAGAGAATTAAAATAAGGAAGCTGAACTGTAGCCAAAGCAGTGAAAGCTGGTGGTGGCTATTTAAATGTTTCTATTTCTAAAAAAGATATTTATAATCACAGATTTTTTACCTTTTTTACCCTCCCTCAATTCGATATGCTCTCTTCTTGTTGGGGAGCAATTCCTTCCCATAATTTTTCATCAGTAAGGTTGAACTTTAAATCAAACACTGATAAAAAGAGAGTGGATTTTTCTTCTAAAAACCATTTTATTCACTTTTCTTTAATCATTTTTATGGAAAACAGATGAAGATAGAAAATTGACATTGTTGTATGCCCTAGCCACAGAATTCCCTTTCTACATACTGGCAAAAACCACATCTGGTCCAGCAAAATTATGAGAGTTATAAACAAATCTTCCATCGCCCCACTGGTCACCTGCTGTGGTCAATTATAGTTTTGAAACTGGTGTGTTATTATCAGATGTTTGGCTACTGCCTGTCTTTACTAATCTCCAACCCAAGTAAAACCCATTGGCGTGACATATCCTATAATTTGCTAAGTTTTTGAACAATGGTGCATTTTGCATTTCATTTGCACTTTCATCCAAGAACCTAAGAATACACTCCCCTCGCTAAAGAACAGAGTAATTAATCATCAGTGCTGTTTGTAAGGAAAAGGCCTGGCTGTGGGAAGAGAGTCATAGACAAAGTAGAGGATAAAATGTCTATATCCCACTGCTTTAATCACTCAGGGAAGTAGCTCCTGTAGACATTATAATTTTAAACAATTTGAATCTTATTTGTAAAGGTATCTTAAACCAGTATTTTTTCCACATTTAAAGGGTGTTTTCACTTAAAAAGATTTTATTGTTGGATATTCATTTTTTAATGATGCCATAAAGCTGTTTGTGCTCTATTTCTTGTTTTTAGAAATCTTTTTGCCTATTAACATCAGTTTCACATCTGTTTTCTGCAGGGAAGACTCTTCCAATTTTGCCTTAATTTCTATCCATTAAAATTATAAAAAATAATCTAAATAAATGAGACAGATTTCCAAGAGAGAATACTTATTAAAATATGCAGGCAAGTCTGCATTTGAAATCCAGGTGGTGTACTTCTCAAGTTCAGTACATCCTCAGAATATAAATGTTGATCAGTGCATCGTTTATGCAAGTCGGCCACTGAGCGATGGCAGGAGAATTTGGAGAGCTTGTTTGATAAGCCGGTGTTGCTTTTTATCCCTTACCTCTCTGCTTTTCATTCTTTCCCCCCTGTTGCTGTGTCAGATGTTTTGTGCTTTCTCTCTGGGATGCTTCCTCGTGAGTCATGTTTTACTGTTGTGACCTTCCACACGTGCATGCAGTTTTACTGTGGTTGTTAGAACCCCGGGACCAGAGCCAGGGTTGGGATTAAGACTGTTCCTGTGCCTCTATCTCCAGCATTCAAATAGGCTATTAGGGAGTTTGTTCTGGTGGTGCTATTGCGTATGAACGGTGATCCTGGTTTAGGTTACTGTCTTCTGGCCATGGTGGTCAAGACTTTTGTTCCTGGTTTCCCCAGTGTACATCCTCGCTTTTTGTTTTAAACGTGCTTACTGAACCTATATTGTCTTTCTCCTCCCAGGATGGGTGGTTTTAGGTCCATGCTACAAATACAACTTCTAGTCTAAATTGTTTGCAGGGAGGAGATGGATGTGAGGAGGGAATCCAAAGAAGTTTGGTGGAGCTAACAAGTCTCAGGCATGTTACCTTGTTTCGTGATGCTCCAATGCAGGGATGTTTGTGGGGTTGTTTCATAACTGTAGTAAACTGGGATTTATGTGCCTGTTCTGCCCAGGAATGTTATACCTATTGGTAGAATTACTGATTACTAGAGTTAGACACCGTATATATGCTGAGCTTGGAAACTAGAGTTCTTCCCCCTGAAAAAAACCACTAAATACATACCTCTTCCTTAATGTATTTTGTAAAGTCTGCATGGCCCATAAGGGCAGGATCTCTCTCGTGTGCTTAAAAGCAAGGAATAGTAAAAGCTAATGGAAAAAATAAATTTCCTACTCTGGCTTTTTTCAGAGGTAATTGTTGCATATTACACAATTGGCGATAAGATGAAATCTAATAAAGAGGTACAATCCCAATGCCTCCAGCACGTCACCACCTGTATGTGTCCCAGCAGGATTGGGAACATGATGCTGTGGAGAGCATGGCTGTTTATAGACCACAGGCAGGGGAGGAGAGCTTGCTCTCCAAGCTGGAGTTCCGTGCATCTGTTACCCAAGGATGGTAATGCAGCATTTGCTCTTGTAAAATAAGTTCTGGTTTTTTAGCATGACAGTGATTTTGATAAATAATAAATAAAAGTGTGCCCCCTATCCATGCCTGAGGGTTTAGATGTCATGGCAGAAAGTGACTTTTGTGCCTGAATGAATGTGTATGTAAATTATTTTATGTCAGTAGCTTTACTTATGTCCTGCCCCACAAAAATTCAAACTTTAAGGGCTTCTGTATAATGGACTTTTGAAGCTCAAGCAGTTCAAATGCATGGAGTTGTATTTCCAGAAGAAATTCAATAAGCCCATCAATGACACTGCAAGCATCTTGCTGCTGTCTGTTTGGCAGTTGTCAATGGAATTGCCCTTACAGGAAAATCCTGTAAATGTCTGTCTCATATATAATTTTAAAGCCAATCTATAAGAATGCTGTCACTGAGATACCGTTTACTAATAAATTTGTGAGGGTTTGGAGTAGTTTCTAGGAGACTTCTTTGGAGTCCTCTTGACTTCTTCCTTTGGCAACTCTCTAGAGTTTTCTGTAAGAATTATCTCTAGGGTGACATTGCAAGTGACTTGAGGATATTCAGAAGAGCTAACAAGGGCCAGTTCCGAGATCATGAGTCATCTGTGACATTGAGCTATAGATGTTGATGGTCTTTGAGGTCTGCACATATAGGCTTCATCTTGGAATGTCCCCAAAACAGTTTGGTGGTGGCAGCAAAGTCATCCATGCTGGCTGAAATTACATTGGGCTTCTCCTTTCTTTCTATCCATTATAGGTGTTCTCTGCCTGCCGGACAGCTTGAACCTTCACAAAGACCAGCAAAGGTCAAACAAGCCTGGGGAAGTACAGATGTTCAGCCAGTCAGAGCTAAGGACCATTGAGCAGTCTTTACTTGCTACACGCGTGGGGAGCATTGCTGAGCTCAGTAAGTACAACGTTGTTGATAATGCTTGTGTTTCTTTCCTCAGTGTAAAGCAAAGCTGCTTGCACTGCCTGATTGTGCAGAGGAGAGATGACGGGGCACGTGTAATGTTGAAGGAGACATTGGGTCATATCTAGCCATGCTCCATGGCCAGTTAGAAAGCTGAAGCCATAGGAGGAAAGAAGTCTCAGTCAGACCCATAGCAATGCCTATGACCTATCTGAATACACTGCACTCATTTTTAAAGGTGAAAGATGCTTTATTTTATCTTCTGTACATTGCATTTGAGAGCACCTCACAGCTTGGCCAGACTTGCAAATGTCTGTCGTATTGGTGTCCTGTCTCATTTCACTGGGATGCCTATTTTGAGATGGACAGGCAAAAAAGCTGAAGGTTGCAATAATATTGTCACAGATATAAAGCAGAGCTAGTTTGACCTGTGTTAGAGAGGGCCCTTCACCCTGCCTCCAGTTCCAGCAGAGGAAGACCACAGCTCAAACCTGCACCAGAGGAATTTGTTCCTGGAAGATAAATTATTTGCTGTTAATCAAAACACTTTTTGAGAAATGTGAGAATCTATGATGTCTATCAGAATCTAGAAGCTTTGGTTTCAGCACAAATAAATTGTAGGAGGCAAATGCCGTGTGAATCCTCATGTGACATGGAGATAAAGTTAACAGAAGTGCTTTTTTTAAAAAAAATAAATTAAAATAGAAGGCTTCCCATCACATGCTTAATGGTATAGTTAGAGATATGAAGCTATGGGTAGGAAAACAGAAACATTCGGACAAAAAAGGGTTTGTTTTCCCTGTGGTCTGTTAGAAATTCTGTTAAGTATTTTTTTCCTGAGGTCTGTTACGAAATTTTGGGGATAAATTGAAAACATTCAAATCTATGAAGAAACCAGGCTGCCCATCTTACTGTTGTTTTATTACTGAATTATGTGTTACCAACATTGTAAAAAACATCTACAGGTGTCTCATGTTCTTTTTCCTGGTATTTTCTGTAGCAATGGGAGTCTCCTCTGTGGCTCTGTCATATCATCAGGGCTCAGTTTACGTGCTGTTCATGAGCCCTTTGGATGTACCATGGATGTTTTTCTACAAGCCGCAGTATGAATTTCTGTTTTCAGCTTGCTAATTTTTCCATGCTCTGGTGAAACGTCAACAAGCCAAGAGCACTTACATGCTGTAGCGTGAAGTGTTGCTCCGTCTCTGGAATCAGGTGTTTGGTGTTATTCAAATTAAGTAATTTATGCTTATTTATTTCATGCGCATCAAACACACAACAGTACTGTCTGCCAACTAAATTATGCATGATACAGCTCTTAAAGTACATATGGTTGCATTTTAATAAAAAGTAATCTGTGGATATTTCAGGGTTTTTTTTAATTCTGGATTTTTTTGAACCTCTGTATGTAACCCAAAAAGCCAGACTCCTTAATCACTCCCCCTTTTAAAATTTTATTTCCAGCAATCTGTCATTTGAAAGTAGTACTACCTTAGGTTCAAATGCTTCATTGACAGGGTTTGCTTTCTGCGTATCTGTTGTCTGCAAACACAGGTAAAATACTCTTCAGGGTGGCCAACTTGAAGAAAAGAGTGCATCAGTGGGAGTTAGATGCAGCTGTCAGAAAGGTTGGCACCTCCAGCACACTGGTAGCCCTCCAGAAAGCCCTCTGGACAACCATTGAGGGCACCTCCCCAGCCACGGCAAGCAGATGCATGTCAGGGAAGAAGCAGTAGGAGGAGTGGTAATTGGCAAAGCTTGCAAGGCTAGATGCTCAGTTGCGCAGAAAACTTTGCTGTGGAGCAGTGCTGGTGCAGAGTTCAAAACTGAGTTCTGAAACTTTGGAGGGAGGTGCAGCATGTTGATGGGCAAAACCACATGAATTTAGGGGAAATCACTAAATAGAAAGAAAATGGAGGGGTTGGGGGGGTACAGGGGGGTTTGCTCTTCATTCAGTGCTTTTGTATCCGTCTCTGGCATCAGCAGAGGCTGTGACCTGGAGGTACAGCAAAGCCTCTGCTGTGGAGGGAGGCTGGGGAACCGCAGCGTGGGGGCAGGAACACTGAGCAGCAGGGAGAAGCCAGGGGGGAACACCTGGGGATCAGAGCGTGTTGGCAGGGAGGGATTAGGCGAAGGAGGATTTATCATTGCCCGCGTGGTGTGAGGGGGATGGAGAGCTTTAGAAGTGGTGCTGTGGAGGGGAAAGAGGATATGGCAAGCTCTGGTGTGGAGAAAGTGGGATATGAGGGAAAGGTTAGGTAAATAAAAGCCCCTGCTCTTGTAGGGATGAATAAAAGTGATGAGGGAGTCTCTCTGGATAGGAGGGAATTAACATGATAGCACTTGTGAAGAGGAGGAGGAGGAGATGGCAACCAGGAGCGAGTGGCAAGGATTGAAGCTTGGCCTGTTGGACCAACAGAGAGGGCAGTTCCCAGGTGTGTGTCTGCAGTGTCCCACCAGTTTGCAGCATCCCAGGACCAGGACTTCATTTCTGTTCTCTTCAAAAGAGCACAAAAAACAAGGGCAAAGAGTGATCTTGCAATAAAGCAATTTAATTTTATCTCAGGAAAATTAAAAAAAAAAAAAAAAAGCAATTCTAATTGAATGAGATTTTATATAGTTTATTGACATTAATAATTAAAATATTGCAAGTACACAGAACAATTAGAATTAGGAAGTGCCCACATGTGGAGGAAAGGCTTCCTCTGTTCTGGGTTCTGCCCAGCATCCTCACATGCAGTGGTGGTGCCAGCTGCTGGAAGTTTTGAGACTGGGAAATCAAATCTGTCCCCTGGGAGACGACAGCTGGCAGACGGGCCCTGTTAATTGCCCAGCGCCTGTATTTCAGCTCACATCTTCTTAGTTTCTTCATAGTCTGTCCCAGGTGAAAAACAGACTAACAAGATGAAAAACCTTGCATCTTGTGGTACCTTCACTTTGCCCTACGCGTGATGGCCCTCATTTGTCTGCTCCCTTCATTTTTTCATGTATGCTATTGGTGTATTAGAAAAGACCATTTTAGTGATCTGCGTCTCCCTGGGGGGTGTCAGAGGTGAGAGAAAACTGGGGAAAGGTGAGATGGTGGACACAACCATGGAGGGAGGGCAGCACCCTCTCTCAATGCTACAGAGGAGGAGGTTGACCCAGGCTGCCATTGAGGGTCCTCATTGCTAGGCAGGTGCAACCAGACTTATGGATGCTGCTCTAGCATCCCTCAAGCCCTGCTTGTCTAGTCTGCTCTCATCTCCTGGGCTTAGGAGAGAGTGGACACTGGCCAGCACTGCTGGCCTTGGGGCATTCTCCTCAAAATAGGAAGAGATGATGTTGCTGACTTAGGGGAAAAATCAAAGGAAGGTTTCATCTCCAGGACCTTGGCGGAGAATGTAAATAGAGACCTAATTCTGCAACGCAATTACAGCGGTAATGTGTGATTCCAAGGAAAAGGCTTGAAAAATTAATGTGAAACCTTATTCATTAAAATATAATGAACATGGCACGAAGTTAAGGAACAATAATAAATCTGGCCTATGTTATATTGGCATTTAGTATTCAGGAATTGTAATTGCCTACTACAGTGTGTTTTAAAATAATGTTATTTCATTTGAAATGCTTATTATATTGAGAACATTGAGAAGAACTGAAGCACAGAAAAAATAATAGGATTTTAAACAGTAGCCTGACAGCATTTCACTGTTTAATCTTAGAGAAAATATTTCACGAGACTTTTTTTTTTTCCCCATTTTTTTCATTATTCCCCCCCAATTTTTGCTGAAGTCCTGTATTTTCATACCAGACCTAGAAGAGAAGGGGAATACATCTGTTTGTTTTTTTTTTTTTTTTCAGAAAGGTTTGGGGTTTCTTCTAGTTTTCTAGTTATTTTATTTCCTCCCCCTCCAGAGAGGGAAAAAATAAGTAGACTGAAGAGAAAAAGAGAGGAATATTAGGGAGAGCTTTGGCTGTTGAGAGATCCCATGATACTGCATTTTGACCTTTGAATATTTTTCCTAACTTCTTTATATGCATGTTTGCAATCCACAGACATTTATGTTATGTTTAACTGCATAACACTCCGACACACCTATTCATCACCCATCTAAAAGTATGCCATCTAAAAGTCTGCCATCTTGCAGACCCGATGCAGAAGGGATGAGGCTTACAACTGGAGGTCACTGATGTTTTGCTTGATGAAGGAGGATCCTCTTTCTCTTGCGTGTGCATGTAGGTGTTGACAAAGAAGAGCAGAGCCTTAGGGTACACTGGGCACCAATCCTATCACCAAGAAATATTCCTCCCTCACTGTCTTGGGATGAAGACCATAAGGTGTTAGTGTACAGTCAAGCTGGGACAACCACCCCATACTGAGTCACATGCATAGGACTGCAGAAGGGTAAACTGTGGCTTAGGATGTCATCCAAACTGTGTCTTCAGGTTAGGGCAGAAGACTGGGGCTTGCTTTGTGTCCAAAGATGGCCAGTCTGCTATGGCTTCCTGGGTGAGAAGTTTGCCACTCAGTCCTGTGGAAACCACGGTGACCGGTAGTGATGATATTACTCTGAGTGTTAACCACAATGAGTAGGCAGTTTTATTTTAAATAGGATAATCTGAAGATTCAAATCCGATTTATCACTGCTGATCTTTGAGCTTTTTAGCCTTTGAGTGGTGTTTAACTTAGAGCAGCTCCCAGATGTGGTGTTCAGGCTGGGATTTCCTACACGTCACCGCTCAGGTCTCAGCAAGGTTTTCCTTTTTTGCTGTTGGAAAAAGGCCACCCTTCCCCATCATCTTCTCTTTGCCTCCACAATGATGAATGTATTTATTTCCAAAATAACATCCTCCCAGTAGATCTTTGCACGCTTTTAGGGATGAAAGGAAGGGTTATTGCTCAAGTATAGGTAGGAATGTGACTGTGCATACCAATACTATTTTTCATTTCTCCTCGCAGCCTCAGCTGAGGAGATGATAAAAGTCAGCATCCCCTCCCTTGCCTTTTCATC